TGATGATGCTGATGATGATGCTGCTGCTGACGATGATGATGATGATGATGATGATGATGATGATGCTGATGATGATGATGATGATGATGATGATGATGATGATGATGCTGATGCTGATGCTCATGATGATGCTGATGATGATGAGGATGATGATGGTGATGATGATGCTGCTGCTGATGATGATGACGATGATGCTGATGATGATGCTGATGCTGTTGATGATGATGGCGATGATGACTATGAGGAGGAGGAGGAGGAGGAGGAGGAGGAGGAGGAGGATGAGGAGGAGGATGAGGAGGGGAGGATGAGGAAGAAGAGGAGAAGAAAAACAGAGAGGAGAAGGAGGAGGAGGAGGAGGAGGAGGAAGCGAGGAGGAGGCGGAGGAGGCGGATGTTAATGAGGAGAGTGACGAAATAGGAGGAGGAGGAGGAGAAGACGCGGAGGAGGAGGAGGAGGAGGAGGAGGAGGGAGGAGGGGAGGAGGATCAGAGGAGGGGGGTAGGATGACGAGCAGAGGATGAGGAGGAGGAGGAGGATGGAGGAGGACGAGGTGGACGGCGGTGAGAAAGGATTGCCGTGGAGGAGGAGGACGTGGAGGAGGAGGAGGAGGAGGAGGAAGAGGAGGAGGAGGAGAAGGACGACGAGGAGGAGGAGGAGGAGGAGGAGGACGAGGAGGGGAGAGGAGAGGAGAGGGGAGGCTGAGGACAGCAGGGAGGAGGGACACGGACTAGCTCGGCTTGTTAAAGTTTTGTCCGTGTGCATTTGTTTGGGCGGTGTGGGACGGCGCAGGGGGGAAGGAGCCAGGACGCAGGGGGATGACAAGGCGGATGGTGTGGTAAGGCGGAGAAGACAGTAGGAAGGATGAAGTTGGAGTAACAGGGGGGAGGGAGGTCAGATTGCTGTGGAGTAGGGGAGGAGGAGGAGGGGGATGAGGAGGATGAGGAGGACACGGGTGGAGACGGGTGGAGGAGTACGGGATGATATCGATGTTGATGACGATGGCCATGATGATGATGATGATGATGATGATGATGATGATGATGATGATGATGATGATGATGATGGGGATGACGAACATCGATGTTGATGGTGATGATGATGGTAGTGGCGGTGGTGGCGGTGGTGATGATGATGACGATGTTGCCAGTGATGATGTTGTTGATTCTGTTGTTGATGCTGCTGATGGTGATGCTGATGATCAGGATGATGCTGATGATGATGATGATGCTGATAATTGTGCCGAGGATGATGATTATCCTGATGATTACGAGCTCGTTGACGATGATGATGACGGACGGTGATGTTGATGCTGACATGTATGGTTGTGTTGATGACCACGGTACTGATACTGGCGATGTTTATGCGACTGCTGATGATGTTGCTGCCCCGGATGCTGATGACGACGGCGATGCCGATGAGGATGATGAATCTGGTGATGATGATGCTGATGATGATGTTGATGCTGATGCTGATGATGCTGATGCTGATGCTGATGATGATGATGATGATGATGATGATGATGATGATGATGGTGACGTCGACGCGGTCGGTGATAGTGGTCATGAAGTTGTTTGTGGTGGTTCATGATGGCGATGAGTGTCACCCGTGTGATGGTGGAAGTAAGATGATGATGTAGGTGACGATGACGATGCCGCAGATGAAGATGCTGACTATATTGATGATACGGATGATGTGGCTGATGATTATGCTTATGATGCTGCTTCGGATTATGATGTTGCCGATGATGGATTGATGACGACGATGCTGGCGCTGCTGCTGCTGCTGCTGCGGCTGATGTTTCTGATGCTGGTGATGATGGTGGTGATGATGTTGCTGCTGCTGCTGCTGCTGATGATGATGATGATGATGATGATGATGTTGCTAATGTCTGCGATGATGCTGATAATGGTGATGGTGATGCTGTTGATGATGATGCTGCTGATGACGATGCTGATGATGACGCTGATGATGTTGATGCTGATGATGGTGCTGTGTATGTTGATGGTACTGATGCTGTTGATGTTGATGATGCCACTGATGCTGCTATTGTCTGCAATGATGACTGTGCTGATGGCGATGATGATGACGAATGATGGTGATGATGATGATGATGATGATGATGGCATGATGATGCTAATGATGATGCTGTTGCTGGTGCTGATGAAGTTGATGATGATGCTGATTCTGATGCTGAGTATGCTGAGGTTGATGATGATGATGATGCTGATGATGATGATGTTGCTGCTGTTCAGGATCATGCTGCTGATACTGACGGTGCTGCTGCTGATGATGATGATGATGATCATGATGATCACCATGCTGCTGATGATGCTGATGCTGCTGATGAGGATGCTGATCATGATGATAATGATGAGACTGTTGCTATGGTTGTTGCTGTTCTTGGCAATTCTGTTGGTGCTGCTGGTGCTGATGGGTATGCTGATGATTACCAGGATGATGCAGCATTATGGTTGTGATTATGCTGCTGCTGATGATGGTGATGATGCGACTGATGATGACGATGATGATGATGATGATGATGCTGATGATGATGATGATGTTGATGGTGATGATGGTGATGATGATGCTGCTGCTGATGATGATGATGATTGTGATGATGCTGATGATGATGATGATGCTGATGATGATGATGATGATGATGATTGTGATGATGAGGATGATGAGGATGATGAGGATGATGATGATGATGCTGATGATGATGCTGTTGCTGACGATGATGATGATGATGATGATGATGATGATGTTGTTGATGATGATGATGGTGATGGTGATGGTGATGGTGATGCTGATGATGATGATGATGATGATGATGATGATGATGATGATGATGATGATGATGATGATGATGGTGATGGTGATGAATCTGGTGATTATCAGGAGGAGGAGGACCATGAGGAGGAGGAGGAGGAGGAGGAGGATGAAGGGGAATGGAGGCTGAATAGGAGGAGGAGGAGGGATGAGGAGAGGGTATATGGGAGGAGGGTGGTGGGAGGTGTGAAACGAAGGTGAGATGATGATTAGGATACAGGAACCGTAGTATTGTCTAGGAGAGAAGGGTGAAAATGAGGAGGCGGATGTGGAGGAAGGTCAATAAGAGAATTATTTAGGTGGGAGGAGGCGGAGGAGGAGAACGAGGAAGAGGAGGGGGTAGGGGGGGGGAGGACGAGCAGGAGGATGAGGAGGATGCTGTAGCAGGGGGTGAGAAGAACGGAGAAGATGAAGTGGAGTTTGCCCAGGCATTTTGATCTGCCTTCTTGTCCCACCGTCCCGCGATGCTGCCCTAGCGGGTTCCCACCTCCATTATTCCCCATATCCTAAGGATTGGGGTTCTTGTTATTATTCTGACGCCTCCCACTGCTCCTCCTTCCTCCCGCTCGCGCCTCCCTCCTCCCAATGATAATCACCAGATAAGACAAGACAAGATAAGATACTACAAGATAAGATAAGATAACACAAAATATGATAAGGTAAGATAAGATATATGACAAGGACTCGATAAGATAGGACTCGATA